GGGCAGGCCGGAGGCATCAGACGTCAGCTTTACCTTCTCATAGGTACAGCTGAAATGGAGCGAGAGCCATGACTCAATGTTTTACCAGTCAAGATGGCTGACAGTATTCCCTCAGTGAGCTCTCGCTGTTCAGAGCTGTACTTTCATTGTGTAAAAAGAGTTTTGAAGAGAGAAATGCAAATTAAGAAGGTCTGCAATGCAATATTTCTCACATTAGCTTTTTGGATTGACTGCAAAATAAAAAGACGGGGTTGAAATGAAAACTGTGTGGGCAGGAACGAAAGTCTGTCTCTCTCCTGCTTGCTGTGTGTGTACGGACTTGTATAGAGAGCCATATGTCAGGTATGGCGCGTGGAAGAAGGTAGCTTTAGAGGAAGCGTCCTCTTGGCACCATGAGGTTTGCATCCTCTGGTCCCACAGGAGATCTTAAACTAGTGCTGTTCTGCTCGCCCGCACCGGCCGGTTTCAAACTCTCCGTTTCTCGTGTGGGCGGCCATCCAAATTGGCATCGCTGCCCAACGGCCCCCTCCCTGTATCACACATAAACACGCTGTAGTGTGAAACAAAACCTGTATCAATTCTGCTTGGCAACTGGGGACATGCAAAGTGACTAAGACTAAGGGGCACAACGTAACAGACGTTCTATTTTCTGCATGCGTGTGCAAGAAAATTACACTTCTCACATCGTTATAATTATCCCTGCAGGGTTGAACTTAAAAACTGAACGAGTGACCAACATGAGAGCAGAAAGAAAGCCAATGATGAGGGCGATCGCGGCTTGACTGGTCTGTGTAATCAGTCGCTCGAAATCCCAGCTATATCTGTGGCGCCGTAATGAGAACGCAGCAGGGCTTTGACAGCGACAATCACGCGTCGGAGTGTTTGTAAGGAGCTAATTAACAGCCCTCTTTAAGTCTGTGTACTCACGCGACTCAATTGTTTATGAAAGAAATGCTTTCTGCCAAATGGATCATCTGCTCTGATCGTCAGTCATCTCAGCGACGGTTGGGAAACGAGATCCAGGGTGGGTCGTCCAGGGTCAGGTGAAGTAAGGGTGAACAGGCTGGGTGCTGACTGGACTTCATGGTTTCTTTTCAGGCTCATTCAGCTTTTGACTTCTGTCAAAATCTCATTAGCTCTCATTGGCAGTCAGATACTGTACATTAGAAAAAAACGATGCCGTGCAACACATTGTAAGTATTTTGGTTACTTAGTCCTTCACAGAGCAAATTTGAATGCTCAGAAGTTATATCTGCAAAACATACAGTTCTGTAAATTAAAACAATTATGAGAGTTGTTATCTTGTTATGTAATTGTTTATCTATCTATCTATCTATCTATCTATCTATCTATCTATCTGTCTGTCTATCTGTCTGT